CAACAAGAACAATAATTGCGTCGTTTCCCTCCATTCAGTAACAGTGTTATTGGCCTTCTGTGGTTGCTGCCAAGTGCGAGTAAGACACGCATCATGGGTTTTGAAGAGCAAAGGAGACTCCCGGGCCCAAACGCCCAGCTTAAGTCCTTCTCCACCGTGCACTTCTGCTAACCTTGGCCAGTTACTCAGCATTCTTTATCTCCCTTTATCTAAGGATGATAGCAACACCTGTGTCGTAACGCCGGCGACCAGGATGAGTGATGTCTGCAGCACTCCGAAGAGCACCTAGCACAGAGTGGACATCATGCTACATAAACTGAGACATCCGTACGTTAATGTCCTCCGCAGGAGGATTACAACTGTGGTGATTACTTTCTGGGCACTGAAATGAAATTGCCGCTGCATCTAAAAGGGGAGGAGAAAACAGGGGCATTGAGGTCTGCCATGAACTTTGAGTCTCAGCTTTACCAAGAAGCCATAAAAAGGCCTGGAAGGTCTGGAGCCTGGGAGGCACACCCATGAAGTCTTGGGAAAGCCTTCTCTCCACCCTGCCCATACTTACCTCTTGGGCTTGCACTAGGCCAAAGGTCCACACCTCGAGGGATCTATTGCCTGAGTAGCCCTGGTAACAGATAACCTGTATTGAGGGCCCATGGTTGGCTGATCAGCAGGTTTGAGAGAACAGCTGTTTACAGGCTTGGACTGTGGAGCCATTTCCAAGGGAGCAAGACAAGAAGATAGGCCAGGCTAACCAGAGATGTGAGCATTTCTGATCTTGCACAGATCTAGAACCTGGGGGTGAAGAATAGTCTGTTCTTATTTGAGCCTGAATATAGGGCACCAGTCATTAGCCTGAAGGATGCCAGAGATTTAGAGGTTCAATGGACCATCCAAATCTCTCTCTGATGCTCACAGCTGCTCTACATGGCCGGTGCTAGCACCCATGTCCTCAGAGAACACTGAAGCACGGGGAGGCCAGGGGCGTTGCGTGTCCAGCTTTGTCACAGACTAGACCAAGATTCTAACCAGGCTCTCACTTTTCTTCTGCCACAGCAGGGTACCAGCCTTAGGTACCAACCTCCACCAACGGTGAAGAGGTGCCCTGAGCTGTGTCCTGAGGGTGTCATGTGGAAGGAAGAACACCAAGTCACGGGCAGGCATTAGGAGCCGGGTTGTGATGGGGAGATTGCTGTCTCATTTGCTCTGCTGGTTTTCCCACAGTGAGCTAATCCCACTGATGCAGACGTTAACTGGGGCCAGGGCTTGCTGCCTGGGAGAACTGTATGTACTTCTACTCTTAGCTTTATTTCAAGGATGAGCCAATGAAAGAAAGGTAGGAACTCTCCAAACATCCTGTATGAAGGGCCCTGAGTCAGGAAGAAATCTGGCTGTCCAGGTATAGTCTGTCATAATGTTCACTCTCACATAACATACACAGAATAGACAAGTTTCTGTTTAGGATTGATACGTGTTCACTTGAGGAACTCTGGGTGTACCCAGAAAAAGGGGACAGTGGCTCACAGTGTGTTGAGCCAATTTGTGGGCATAATGTTCAAAGGTTAGGTGTGAACACAGAGAACACTAGGAAGCCTCTCACTATACTCTATGTGTAGCTGAAGATCAAGTAAAATAAATGAAGTACAAGCTTGCTTTTATTACCGTTTACTATATGTATTAATTGTATAAAATAATGGGTTTCTTTGTAAAGTTTTAACATGCATTTAGAAAACATTGACACAATCTTATTTTTACATGAGTTCTAGCACATCCCACTCTTACTTTAAATATCTTGACCTCATTCCTGTCACTGTACCACTAAAGAGAGAAATTTATTTCTGGCAAGGAAGATTTTTTTAAGGCGGTTCTGCCATCTGCTGGACAGCCTTGCAACAGCAAGGAATTTGTTAGGAATTAAGACTTTTCTTAATTAAAGTCACCTAGTAGTGCCCTTCATTTTGCCTATGTGGCCTGTCGTGGGCTGTTCTCTCAGTTCTGATAGTTTTCGGTGTTTGTGTTCGTGGGTGTGTACACACATGTGCATGTGCAGGGCAGAGGTTGACATTGTGTGTTTTCCTCTATTGCTCTTCAATGTATCTTTTGAGATTGCGTCTGAACCCGGAGCTCATTGATTTGACTGTCTTGGGTAACCAGCAAATGCCAGAGATCTTCCTGATTCCACTTCCAATGCCAGGATGACAGGTGTGTTCCTTTGCACCTGGTTGTTCTTTGTTTTGTTTTTGTTTTTTTTTTAACGTGGGTATTGAGAAGGGAACTTGGGTCTTCATGCTTGCACCTGACCAGCTGAGTCACCAGCGGAGCCATCTCTCAATCCCTGCTCTTCCGATTTTTTTTCCCTCTTCTGATTTTTCAGGGCACATGTTTAAACTCAGTTTGAACGGCAGAAGAGATGGCTCAGAGGTTAAGAGCACATGCTGCTCTTCCAGAGGATCCAGGTTTTGAGTCTCAGCACCCACGTGGTGGTCACAGCCGTCTGTAACTCCATTTCTGGGGGATCTAATAAAACACCCTCCTTTAGCCTCAACTATGCACGTGGTACACAGACATACATGCAGCAAAATACTCATCCACATAAACTTAAAAAACAAAACAAAACAACTCATCTTGAGAAACAGAAGAGTTGCTGTGTTTGGCAACCCCATAATCACGTTACTACTAATTATTTTTATCATTTAATATTCAATTGGAGGCAGAGCTGATGGCACATTTTAGCAGCCTCAGTCTACGCAGCTCACCTTCCACGCATCTCTGCTTTGTTCTAGTGTTTGCTGCAGAAGAGTGAGTGTTATCTGTTGAGAGAGAAGGTCTCTTCACAATGCCGCAGAGAAAATGTTGGTCCCAATGTGATGCCCCAAATACTGACCCCAATAACAAGGGCTGGTGCAGAACCCTGTCCCTTGACTTCTTAAAGAAGACAAAGGCAAATGCATGTATTCTGCTGGTCTCTTCATGGTTGTTCCCATCTCCCTTCTCCTTCTCCTTGGTCTTTCTCATCTGGCAACACCATTGTATGTGTTTTACCTGCTTAAATATATATGTGTATATACATACATACATAAATGTACACACACACACACTGTTGTGTTGCCCAGGCTGAGGCTGCTCTCCGATTCCTGCCCTCAAAATAGTCTTTCCACATCAACCTCAGGAGGAGCTGGCTCTACAGTACGTACACTTGTCTATCAATAAGCATTTGCTTATTTTTGTTGTTTGTTTCCTTCCATTATAATATAAGCCCAGCAAGGCTTTGTCTTCAATTTCTGTGGGACCCTCAATGTCTAGAACAATGCCTGGCGTCGACTAGTGTCAAAAAGTGTTTATGGGGCCAGTGAGATGGCTCAGTGTGCACAGGAGCTGACCACCAAGCCTGGTGACCTGAGATTGAGCTCCAAGACACAGACAGAGGAAGGAGAGAACTGAGTGCTCCAGGCTGTCCTCTGACCTCCTCACTTGATGTGTGACTGTTTTGCCGCATGTATGTACCATGTGCAAGCCTTGGTGCCTGAGAGGGTCAGAAGAGGCCATTGGATTCCCTGGGACTAGAGTCGCAGATGGTTGTGAGCCACTATGTGGGTGATGGGAACTGAACCCAGGTCCTCTGCAAAAACATCTGCTCTTCACTCCTGAGCTCTCTCCCCAGATCCTAGGGAAAAATTAAGCAGTACTTTTGAACAAGTGGCACCCTGGCCTTTTCACCTCACAGTCACAGCACCAGCCTCCACAGACTTGATATTTCTGTCTCAGCTGTCTGTTTTTTCTGCAGAGAGAGCAGCGGCAAGAACAGCATGGATGAGGTGAGCAGGTCCTGGCCTGGTTTCTCCTTTTCTTAACCAGTCACTGAGGGCGCAAAGGATTCTGGGAAAGCTTGGAAGAGAGTTCAGAAGGTAGACAACTGGATGAGAGTAAAAATCAAGAAGGCTGAGTATAAATGTGAAAGAGGTAGGAAACGCTGCCTGAAGCACACAGATAATTAATTAGTGATTTATGAGTCTGTGTAAAATTATGTAATAGCAAGTCAGGTGCGGTGGTGCACGCCTTTAATCCCAGACCTAGGAAGGCTGAGGCAGGCTGATCCCTGAGTTTGAGGCCAGCCTGGTCTACAGAGTGAGTCAAGAAAGTCAGGGCTACACAGAGAAACCTTGTCTCAACAAACAAGCAAGCAAGCAAATAAATAAATAAATAAATAAATAAATAAATATGCTACAATTTATCAGTTCTTACATTGGTTCCAGTACTGTATTTAAAACTGCATTACACATGCATGCCTTTGTTTTCATGATATCTTTATTTTACATAAACAACGCAGGATCCAGGAGAGAGATTATGTAACTCACTTGTGTGTTGACGGTTCATCTGCTGAGTACAAAGCATAGAACAGTTCTACTCCTGCAAGACGTAGACACTCCTTTTAGCCAAAAAGTGCTTCTCTGGTTTGACAATGTTTTTGTGGCTTAGCGTGTGGCCTACCTCGCTTGTAAATAGAGTAAGAGTTGCCCTGAACTCATAGAGATGAAGGAATAATTTAGACAAAAAGCTCTCTGCACTTTGCCATACTTTAGAAGCATCGAACCAGGAAGGGGAAATGGCCAGCTCCAGAGTTCCGTGTTTTGTTTTGTTTTTCCTGCGCACCTAGCTGATACTCCCCTTCAGAGGTTCAGAATAAAGGTGCAGGTAGCCCCGCCTCCTTATGTATTTATTCCGTCCAGCCGCTTCCGGTTACGGGGGGGGGGTGTGGTGGTGTCGCGTTTCGCAGGACAAAGACATTTCATCTGTTTTAGCTTTCCCATCTTTCCCACCTCGAAGCGGGTGATCCGGTGCGTTCTCTCCGGAGGATGACAGTCTCTGGGCTCCATGAGTCAGAACGCTCCCCTAAGCTTCGCAGAGCCAAGAGGCCAAGACTACAACTCCCAGAGTCCCGCGCTCCAGGCCTCGCGCGTGCGCCGTGGTGGCGAAGCGGACCGCGGAGGTTCTTTGCGCAGGGCTCTCGTTGGCGCGTTCCCGACTCTGGGAGCTCTGGTGCTTTCAGCCCAGATCAAGGGTCGGGCGGAGCTATTGCCTGGCGTTCGGCCGCAGCATCATCACGCCAGTCCCCCAAGAGTTAGGCTGTCGGTGAGCACCGCGGTGCCTCGAGTCCAGCGTCTTCACGGCCCTTCCCTAGGATCACACCCGGAGAAGCGTGGAGGGAAAGCGTGGAGGCCGGCGGGTCATCTACCGGGCCCACGCCGCATTTAGCTGTCCTCCTGACGCGTGAGGAGACCCGGCAGAGCCCAGGCTGGCTATGAAGAGCGACACCTCGACCTCTGCAGTCCCTTTGAAAGGGCTCGGGGGCCCTTTGCGGAGCAGCGAGCCCGCGCGGGCCCTCCCGGCGGTGACACCCGCGGTGCACCTGCTGGAGGAGGCGTCCGACCTGTTGGTGGTGCACCTGGACTTCCCTGCCGCGCTGGAGACTTGCGAACGGGCCTGGCAGAGCCTGACCGAAGAGCCCTCGAGTGGCACGTACGTGCTGGGCTGTGTTGCTCTGGGTCCTTGTGGGGAGGAACTCGGTCTCAATTTCTGGCATGGCCAGATTGCGTCAACCTCACACCTTGCTTTCGCCAAGGGATCCTCTCTAAGAAAGGCTGGTCGCTCATCCGGCACCCTTGCTGCCGTACAATGAAGTCAAATGCAACAGTTGGCGGGGGTCGGAGGCAGCCAATTCTTTGCTCGCCCTTTCAGCGGAGGACAGGGTGGATGTCTGTTAAGTGGTCAGTCGTAAGGAGGTTCAGTAAGCAGGTAGCAGAAGGCCTCCTTTGGGGACCCACCTTCTATTCACTGCCGGCGTTGGCAGATAATGGAAAATGGGGTCAAGGCAGACACACACTGCTCTGGTCCTGTTGACGGATTGGGTGAATTGCTTTTAGGAAACACCTGCTTTCTCGGTCGCTCTTTCTAATGCCTTCTGAGGAAGGTGTGCGCTCCACAGAGAAATGGTGCCTCCTCTGGCAGCTGGGGGCACCATTTCTCTGTGGAGCGCACACCTTCCTCAGATCTGTTTGAGCCACGCTAGGGAGGGAGTAGGCAGAAGAGTCAAAGTTGACAGCAGAGAAGCAAACACTGGAGACACTTGGCCGTGGTTTTAGGGGTGGAGGTTGCACATTTGATGTTGAGGGCTTTGCTTATGGCCATCTGTATATAGAATTTTTTTTGGCTTTTTGACCCAGGGTTCTCTTTGTAGCCCTTGCTGTCCTGGAACCTGCTGTGTAGACGAGACTGGACTTGAACCCGGAGATCCATCTGCCTTTGCCTTAAAGGCGCGTGTCACCACTATTTCTGGCTGGACATAGAGAATTCTAAAAGACCATAAGTTTCTATATTAATACCTAGCTAGACACTCCAAGACCATTTCTCACTAAGCATCCTCTTGACTCCCACTGTCCTTCAGTGCCATTCCCACAGCATTACCGTCCATCTGATTCTGATTTCACCTGCATGCAAATATGGGTTTGCCCCTAAAAGGCCTCTACAACTTAACTCCAGGGGAGGAGGGCAGCCCAGGAGACCAGTGGGGAGGCCTGGGCCAATAAATAACAGAAAAGGAAAAGGTGGTAGCCCTCGGAACCGGAAGCCGGACACCAGCTCCAGAATGGAAGAGGGAACGGAGAGAGGGAAAGCACTCTGGGCCTGACATGTGTCTTTCTGCTGACAGTGTCCTGGAGGTGAAATGCTCCCTGTGTGTTGTGGGGATCCAGGCTCTAGCAGAAATGAATCGATGGAGAGAAGTCCTGCCCTGGGTCCTCCAGTATTACCAGGTTCCTGAAAAGCTGCCTCCTAGAGTCCTGGAGTTGTGGTAGGTCCTTGTGCTGACGCCGGGTCAGTATGTCCTCTCTCGAGTCAGGGTCTTAACGACTCCCTTGTCCTCCTTCCCTGTGTGTTCCCTTCAAACTCAGGTCTCCACTTCATTCAGGCCTCAAACCGCAGCCATTAAGGATGAGGGAGCAGGCGTTTGGGAGTAGGATAGAGGAACAGAGAGTGCACAGGAGATTGTAGTGGAGTAGGCTGATGGGAGGACAGAGCCACTCAAGCTTGTTGGTGCCTCCTGGGGATCTCTAATTGTGAAATTTGTGTGTGTGTGTATTTTGTGTATGTGGGTATATGTGTGTAGGTGTTATGTGTGTGGTGTATGTGCATATGCATATGTGGGTACGTATGCGTGTGCTCATGAAGATCAGAGAAGGGTGTTTGGAGTCCTCTGTCACTCCCCGCTTTATTCCTTTGAGTCAGGGTCTCTCCCTGAACCTGCAGCTCACATTCTTTCTTGGCTAGGCTGGTAGCCAGCAAGCCCCAGTGGTCCATCCTCCCATCTCTTCCCCCTCAATGCTGGGATTATGGGTGTGGGTGGAGCCACATCGAGCTTGTTACATGGGTACTGGGATCCTAACTCCGATCCTCAGGCTTGCACAGCAAATGCTTTTTTTTTTTTTTTATTATGTTTTGCTTTATTTTAACATGTAGATGTATATCCCTATTACATGCATTGTATGTCTGCACTACATGCATGCCTGATGCCCACAGATGCCCACAGTTGGTCCCTGGATTCCCTGGAGCTGCAGTTAGAGACAGTTGTGAGCCTTTGTGTAGGTGCTGAGAATCAAACCTGGGTCCGCTGGAGGAACAGCCAGTGCTCTTAACTTCTAAGCATTTCTCCAGCCCTCCATCTCTAATTCTTAAAAAAAAAAAAGTATACACATAAAAGTTATGTGTATGTACACATGAGTGCCAATGTCCTTGGAGGCTGGAAGGTGGTCTCAGCCCAGAGCTGGAGTTACGGGTGCTTGCGAGCTGTCCAGTATGGGCTCTGTGATTGAGACACCAGTCCTGTGAGAGCAGTACTCACTCTTCCTGCTGTCTCCACCCCCCACCCCCATCTCTAATGCCCCACAGGGAAGGGCTGGAGGACCTGGGAGGGTAGGCTTGACGTCTGTAGCTTCGAGGATGAATCACCTGCAGAGCACTGATTCTTCTTTTTCGGGACACAGCATCCTTTTATATAGCAAAATGCGAGAGCCCGGAGCTGTGCTGGATGTGGCCGATGCCTGGCTCCAAGACCCAGACAACCAGGGCCTTCCTGAGTATGGATCATTGGCAGAACTCCACCTGCTCCGGGTGCTGCTGCCTTCTGGCCGCCTGTCAGAGGCTGAGGAGTTGGCAGCGGGCTCTTCGGCTCTCAGCGAAGAGCAGCGAGTAGGAGTGCTCCAGGCCATCCAGGCAGCACGCAAGCGCCAGCGCGTGCAGGAGACCTTGAACTCCCAGGAGCCTCAGAAGCTGAGCCAGGAAGGTAGGACAGCAAGACTCTTTGGTCTCTGTCAAGAGGTTCCGTGGCATCTCCTGTCCCTTTCTGGCTTTCCTGAGCTTGGAACTTAAGAGTAACTCTTAAGTCACAGAGTAGGAAGCCACTGTGTTGCATACAAACCGAGCGAGGCTCTCCGAGGTTGGAGCACAAGGAGAGTAGTCTAGGTAGGGGGAGGTGTTGCTGCGTCTTCCAACCCTGACTTGTCTCTTGGAGAGTCACATTCTTCAGGATCCTCTCACTAGATTTTTTGCTTCCATCACGCTAGCCAGGGAGCTGTTGCCCCTCCATCCAATGCTGGCCCTGATTCACACACAGCTTAATTCGGTAACTTATGAAATAAAATGGCCTCCTTCAGCTATGGGTCTTTGTGCCCGGCTTCCTAACTGCCTTCACTTAACTAGAGCTTTTGAGTTGTTTCCTTTTTGTTGTTGTTGTTGTTTTGTTCTTTTCCAGCTAAGGTCTGCCTTGTTCATTAGCACACAGCTGAGCTACCCAGAGGCTTCCGGTAGCATCCTCTCAAGGTGGTGGAGCAGAGCTGGGAGTGGGGTTGCTCTGTTAAGGACCTTTAAAGGCCTTTGGCCCCACACCATCTTCCCTCCTCAGTCCTTTCAGTTCCTCTCCCCTCAGTCTGTGTGTGAATACGTCCACGGTTAGAAAACCACCTGTCTCCCAAAGCAGGGCCATTTGGTCTTTTTTAAAAAAAGATTTATTTTATGTTAAATCATGTCTGTGTATATGTCTGTATATGTGAATGTAGGTGCCATGAAGGCTAGAGGCATCAGATCCCGCTGGAGCTGGGAGGTACAGGCAGTTATGAACCCCACAGTGTGGGTGCCAGGAAGTGAACATATAGTGTGTATATATGTGTGTGTGAGAGAGAGGAAGAGAGAGAGAGCACTTGATTATAGAAAAGGTTGCACCCCCTTTATTTGCTGTGATCTCACTTTATTGTGTGGTGGAGTAAATAAACTAAATAAAAATTTAGATATGGCTACAAATTAAAAAACAAAATACAACACATGGAAATTTACCAGACCTGAAGACTGTACAATTCAGTGAAGTCCTATACAGTCTGAATAGCAATTTGGAACAGAAGCACATAGATTTTTATTTATTTATTTTTAATAATTTATTTGTACATTTTTTAATTTTTTGTATTTTCGAGACAGGGTTTTTCTATGTAGCCTTAGCTGTCCTGGACTAACTTTTATAGACCAGGCTGGCCTCGAACTCACAGTGAGCCACCTGCTTCTTCTTCCCAGAGTGCTGGAATTACAAGTGTGCACCACCAATGCTGGCATGCACATTGGATTTTCTTGTTTTACTCTCGTTCTTTTTATTTTTTAAAGATTTATTTATTTATTATGTATACAATGTTCTGTCTGCATGCTCACCTGCATGCCAGAAGAGGGCACCAGATCTCATTATAGATGTTTGTGAGCCACCCTGTGGTTGCTGGAAATTAAACTCAGGATCTCTGGAAGAGCAGCCAGTGCTCTTAACCTCTGAGCCATCTCTCCAGCCCAGATTTTTTACTTTCACATTGAATATATTTTTATGTACTTATACCCACCGTCAGAAACAAAGTGACCATTTCAGAGTAGAACTAGAAAAAGCAATTAGCTTTATATACTCTTTTAGAACCTTCTGTCTTTGGACATCTTAGGGGTTATTAAGCTTTCTTCTTTTTAAACTTTACATGAAAATGTCTGGGCACAGGGGTCTTTTCTGAGACTGATACCCCAACCAAGGACCACTCCTGGAGATGATCTAGAATATCTGCACAGATGTAGCCCATGGTAGCTCAGTTCCTAGTGGGGTCCCTATTAAGGGACAAGGGGCTGTCTCTGACATGAACTCAGTGGCTGGTTCTTTGATCGCCTCCCCCTGAGGGGGGAGCAGCCTTGCCAGGCCACAGAGGAAGACTATGCAGACAGTCCTGATGAGACCTGATAGACTAGGGTCAGAAGGAAGGGGAGGAGGACCTCCCCTATCAGTGGACTAGGGGAGGGGCATGGGAGGAGAAGAGGGAGGGAGGGCAGGATTGGGAGGGGTTGAGGGAGGGGGCTACAGCTGAGATACAAAGTGAATAAATTGTAATAAATTTAAAAATAAATTAAAAATAAAAAATATTTTTAAAATGTACATGAAAGCCTGTCATTTTAATCAGGAAACTGTAATCAAGGTACTTTTCTCTGTGGACCTGCTGGGATAGGCTCACTTCTTTGCTAGCAGGTCGTTGGTTTCAGGAGTTGCCTGTGGCTTCCAGGCCCTTCACTAATGTCTTAGTTAGGTTTCTTTGGCTGTGATAAAGCATCATAAACAAAGGCAGCTTGAGGAAAGGGTTCACTTCAGCTTACACTTCTGCATCTCAGTCCATCATTAAAGGAAGTCAGGGCAGGAACTGAAGACAGGAACCCAGAGGCAGGAGCTGGCGCTGACGTCATGGGGGATGCTGCTTACTGGCTTGGTCCTCATGGCTTATTCAGCCTGCTTTCTTAGACAACCTGCCCAGTGCCACCCCAGTGGGATAGGCTAACCCACATCAATAGTTAATAAGAAAAAACCCCACAGGCTTGCCCACAGGCCAGTCTGGCAAGGGGCTTTTTCTCAGCAGAGGTTCTCTCTTTCCAAATGATTCTACTCTATGTCAAGCTGACATGAAGATGAGCACAACCATAACCTCTGCGGCAAGTCCAGCTGGCATCACTTTTTGGGCTGTTGGTATTGCTGATTTTATTCACAATCCCAGCCTTGAATTCTCTACTGCATATATTCAAGGCCTTCATTTCTCTGTGTTAATGTGTCACAGGTAAAGCCTGGAGTTAGTTCGCAATACGAAGAATACTTACACAGCTGAGTAGTTCTTGCACGCTCTGACTGTGCTGTGTCTTCATACAGCCTGTCCTTGAAACATCTTCGGATGGCTGTGGATGTAGCTCAGCAGTAGAATACTTGCCAAGAGTCTACAAGGTCGTGGGATCCATCCCCAGCACTGCAAAAGCTAAACCAAACCAAGCCCCAAACAAACAATGCCATTCTGCCTTCAGTAATTTTCTTCTGAACTCTTTAGTGAGCTGTGCAAGGGAATTACTCTCATTCTGTTTTGACTGACTCTTCGGATCTAGCTCAGAGCCAGGGAAGCTGACCTGCCCGACTCACCCCTGCAATGCTCTGTCCCCTGGTCAGGTTCGTTTTCCCGGAAGCTGCTGTCACTGCTGATGTTGCTTCGTCGACTTTGGGGCTCCGCAGTGAGCCACCTCCTCTCTCAGCCCTTCAGGAAGGGCCTTCTGGCCGCTCTGATCCTCTGTCTCTTGGTTCTGCGGTTTGACCCAGGTGAGTGAAGGGGTCTGAGAGCAGGCCTCGAGAGAGCAAGCGCTGTGGGGGAGGGAGCCTCTTCACAAAGAGTGAGTCTGCCTCACCTGGAGAGAACAGGCCTAGGACCTAGGAGATCAGCTGGAGAACATCTTCCTGCTGGCTTCCATGCTGATGGAGTTACCGTTCTCGAGTCAGAATGCAGGATAAAGAAGCTTCCTCATGGCGACAGCTAAAATCGAGTGTGTTGACCCAAGTGTCTTTCGGCTAGTGTGATGTCTAGATTGTAAAGAATGCCTGATGCCTTTTAGAAGACGTGGGAAAACAGAAGAGCTAAACGCTGTTCTGGTTCATAGAACCTTCCCTGGCTTGGTAGGTGTTGGGTCTGTAGCCTTTAGTTGGGCCTTAGTCTCTTCTGCCTCACTGTGAAGTAGAGTTGAGACTTGGGGGCACACCTGGAAATGTCCTGAGGAGGGATCATTCAAACATGCAGACATGGGCCACAGTTAGGTGACTGCTGTTTGAGAAATACCCCTCCCCGCTTAAAAAAGAAAAAAAGAATATCTTGCTTATAGTACAGAATGGCGTCAACCCTTTTTGTTTCTGCCTCCCAAATACTGGGATTGCAAGTGGGTATCCCTGAACCAGGCTTTCTGCTTTACCCTCTGTGAATTGTGAGGTAGTCTCCATTTTTCTCAAGAATTTAAATGTAGGACAGGAGTATGCAGCTTTCCAAACCCAGGGGAAATGAGAAACCTTTATTTCAGCCTGTTCGTTTTCTTTCATTTGTGGTTGAAAAATCTAATTTCCAGAGAGGTGAAGTGACCCGAGCAGAGTCACACACTTTGCATGCTTTTAACGCTGTCACCTTTTGACTATAGGTCCCCAAGCCCCTCCCCTTTCCTTCAGTCAGTCAGTTTGTTTAACCCCTTGCTGGACTCTGAGCGAGAATGTCCCCTCTTGACTGCCCTGTTGGTTATGCGGGGAAGTCAGCAGCGACTTCCAGGAACACTGGGGAAACACGGGTAAGCAGCCTTGCCTCGAGTGGGAAGCACATTCTTCGCTCTGGGAAAATAAACTTAAAAAAGGGAAGTTTGGTTTGTGTGATTTCCCATCTGTCCCTGATTCTCCACTTTGCAGATCTGATAAGAATTTAGAAATTCCTTGTGACTTCCCCTAAACCCTTTTGTGTCACACACCCTGATCTCTTGAATGGTGCTGCAAAAAGCCGTTTGAATGAGGGCGTGTACTAGACAGCTCAGAGCTTCCTCAGGAAGACCTGGGGGTGGGCTGCAAATCAACCAAAACAAAGATAGAAATACATATTTCACGTTTGTTTATTTGTTTTAAAAATATGTAATCTAAACAAGAGAAAAACAAAGAAACAGATTTTTCTTTATTTTCAATGTAGTTAGTATGTGATAAAATAGGTAACAGTGCCAGGAAGCTCCAAACTGAAAAAGCATAGAAAGGTACAAAATGTAGTGAAAGTCTTCCAAATGATTCTCCTCAGTGGCAGACAGACATTGCTACCAGCGTTTTTATTTATTTATTTTCATGAAGTAAAGTTGGGGCTTAATAAACATTTATTAGTCTTCTAAAAAAAATATGCATGAGTCTGTATGTATGAATGTATGTATGTATATATGTATGTGCACCACACGCTGCCTGCTGTGGGGGAAGGTCAGAAGTGTTGGCTCCTCTGGAACATATAGATGGTTGTGAACCTCCCATATGGGTGCTAGTAACTGAACTCAGATCTTTGCAAGAGCAGCAAGTGATCTTACTGAGCCATCTCCAGCCCCAATTAAAAAAAAAAAAAATTAATATAGGCCTAAGCATGGGAATTAAGAAAGACTCACTCAGAAGAAAGGGAGCCACACCCGGAAGTGTGGTGTGGGCTTCTGAGAGTCACCAGTGTCTGTGTATATATCAGAAAGATAAGATTAAGGTGTAACATCTAAAATGTTTAAGGTTACTGTAATTCAGGTAGAGAAAACGTATCTCAGAGAAAGAGAGTTCCTTGCTGCGGAGGAGGCCGTGAGTAGCAGGCAGCCCAGGTGTGTTTTCTAGCCGCCATGGAGGCTGAAGGAAGAGCACTCACCCTTGTCTTTCCCCTCCCTGCAGCAGCTCCTTCTTCACTGCCCTTCCTCTACCAGCTGGCCCAGCTCCTCCGCCGGATCCAGAAGGCCACACTCTCTCGGCTCTACCCACTCGCCCTCCAGGACTGAGTGGGCCAACATGGCTGCCTCAGTCTCTTGCGGTCCACATCTCCAGAAGCAGAAGAGTTGAGCCCCGTGGCTGGGCCCCAGATGTCACCGTGGGAGTGAGCCCACTTCGTTCTAGAAAGAGTGACCAAGGCAGGTGAGCCGTGGCTTGCTGCCTTTGAGCCCTCCCTTTGGCATCCAGCTGTGGCTGGCCTCAAAGGGAATACAGGAAGAGTGGTGCCCTAGGCCCAGCTACCCAGAGTAGAGTTCCGGCTGCCCAGGACAGTCCTCTCACTTCTTACTGCACCAGCTCCTCAAAAGGGAGGAGCTTAGGAGCAGGGAATGAGTCTTGAGACATTCTGTTTTCTTGACTGAAGCCAAGGGTGACTTTCCCGGTCAGGCTGCTGAGGGGCTGGCAGTTCACAAACGTGGTGGAGCAGCCCTTGGCCGCTTACCTCAAAATTGCTTCACAGGGCAGTGCTGGAATTCGAGTGAAGCCAGAGGAGCCTCTTCTTCCACGGTCCACCCACAGATGCCATAATTCCCAGTCAGCCGCCGCCCCATCCCATTGGTCCTGCAGTGGGGCAATAGGCTTTCTGCTTGAGGCGGGTTGCTGTTGAGACAGGATATGGCTTCCGACCCGCTCAGGTGGCTACTGGGAGCAAAGTGAGCCTGCCTGACCTTATCTCTGGGGAATGTGATCCTGCTTGGCGCCATGTAGCCTTAGCTCAGTTTTCCGGTATGTCAGGGGCCGATCTCTGCTCGCTTGGACCCAGCGTCCTCCCACTGTACCCCACCACCCTTTGACCTGCCCAGCCAACTTTTGTCTCACCACTGTTCTCCTTGGTACACACTGACTGGCAGGTCCCCTCTCTTTGCCCTGTTGTCCTAGTTGTGGTGTGTTGTTTGTATAATGCCCAAGCTTCTCTGCTCGTGTGGCATGAAAAGTAGGCCAGTCTCAGAGCTGAGAGCTGAAAGCTGAAAATGGAACTGGGTAATCAGGTGAGCTGGAAGACCTGTGGGGGCAGGGCCATGGGGGCCTGATGGGGGCCAGAGGGACGGGTCTCAGGGAGGAGGCACTGGGCCCGTTTCGGCTTTTCTTTTGATGACCACAAAGGTCTCATGTGTTTCTGTTTAAGTAAATACAGACCACTGTAATGGTGTCAGGATGGAAGGCCCTCAGCTGGCTGCCCACACCTGTCTGCCAGTATGAGTGAGGAGACTGCAGAGAGGATCTGCAGGCTTCTTGTTGGTTTTTAGGAACTGTGAGTCAACAGCTTTTCTTTAGAAGAAGAAACTTCACATTTAGAATTCTGTCTAAATTTTGAGAGCTTGGGAACCAGAACCACCATTTTTTGGTATGACTGTTAAGCTTTAGATCACTGGGGAAAGAAAAGGAGTCAGGGAGGGTTGAGATCCCTTGACAATGATTCCCTTCCTTGTTTGCTTTTGAGATGGGCGTCTCACTATTGTTGCCCAATGTGGCCCAGAACTCCAGGGCTTAAAGGGTGAGTTCCACCCATCAGCCTGTTGAATATCTGACTCATGAACCAGATGACAATGATTTTGAAATGAGAATTTGGACATTCACTGCCCTAGAAGAAACGCCTTACTGGCATCCATGGCCCACAGGATAAGAATCCAGATTCTTCTTAATGGAAACTTGTATTTGCAAGTTTGGCTGATAGCTCCTTTGCTGTGTTGCCCTGTTCCCTGGGCAAGCCACATTCTAAGTGCCAGGCTGTCCTCAGGCCTCTCTGCCACGGCTTCGCTGTTACTGCTGGAGGTTTTTCTCTGCCCCAGGCCCTTGGCTTTTCAGGCTTGCTCAAGGACTAGCTAACATCCTTTCCCAGCTTTTTCTGCTTTCCCTCAGCAGTGGTTTGGTAGGGCTGTTTGCCTCCTCCAGTGCTATGAGCTCTTTGAGGCTGCGCAGTGCTTGAGTCAGGCTCACATCCCTGCCCTACTGTGTGGGTAACTTCAGGCAGAGTTTGACCTTCTCATCTGTCTGTCAGTCAGCCCTCATCTCACCGGCCTCTTCCATGAGTACATGGGCACTCAGGAAGCTTTTGACACTTTCTCTAGCCCCAGGAGGAGTTTTTGTGAGCTGTGGCTGTTCCCAGGCCTGGCTGGCATGGACAGGTTCTTGGAGGAGCACATGAGTGGACTGATGGAAGAGGGCTTGGTTCTGGTGTGTGTGCTGGTCAACGCTGTGAAACACTGAAATACAGGTTTGGTTGTGCCAGCTTGTCTGTCTGCTCTCTCCTGATGTTCCTTACAGTTGTTCTGTTGGTGCCCTGTGAGGCTCTGGTTATTCTTGTCCTGAGGGCTGCAGGGCTGTCTGTACCCTAACCACCTCCCAGAGGTGTCTTTCGAGCATTTGAAATGTGGCTCATTCATGTGGAGATATTCTGTAATTATAAAACATATACACTAGATTTCAAAGACCAAACACTAAAAAATTAAAATAAAAAATGGAAATACAAAGATTTTTATATTGACTGTTTGTTGAAATGATAATATTTTGGATATATCAGGTTAAATAAAATCTATTTAACTAATTTTAGCTGTTTCTACTTTTGTAGTGAGGCCTATGTTTAAAATGTCTTGCGACACCACACATACTGGCTAGTTTCAGAGGGGATCGATGTCCAAGAAGAACAGTGCATGCTGGGATTGGGAGACACTGGGCCTAGAGAGTCTCAGTTGCAGATGATATCTTGCAACCACCTTCTTTTTTAGTTAATGAAACTGAGACTCAGAAAGGTGAAACCGTTTGCCCTAAGTCACAGCCTGAATAAGACCCAGGCCTCCTGACCCTCCTCGTGTTCTTATCCATCCTCCCTCCCCTCCTCCACCCCCACCCTGGTCTTCTCTGTCATTCTTTGGCTGGAGTTCATTGTTAATAGGCAGATGTATCAGGGAAAGCTAGAATCGACCAGCTCTCGGGTGTCTGCTGTTTGTGATGTTGAACAGACGTTCTAACTTAAGGAGCGCCTAGGACAGCAGGAGCAAGGTCCTGTGGTTAGACGGGAGGATGGGCTCGGGTGGGCGGTGGGGTCAGGAGGAGGAGGCGGCGGGCAGGCAGCAGGATAGCCAGCGCCTGAAGGAGGTATGAAGTCCTAAGAAGATGAGACGCTCTTTTCACGATTATGTCTGCACATACATGTACAGAGAACATTAGTATATGACACACGCAAACCAATGCCTAAGCTAAAAAAAGGTCATCCTGGCTAAGAAAGCCCACGCGTTCATTCCCATGTCCCATTTTCTGCCCCAGGGCAACCACTGCTGGGATTATCAGTTACGTTCAGCCATCCTTCAGGTTTTCCTTTCTCTTATGCAATGGTAGTACACTTACTGCTTTTACTCGCCCTTGCCACACTTAAAAACAAAAGACAGCAAAACAAAAAACTTCATTAATTAAGTGGACATTGCCTGCTGTGAGCACAGATAGCCCTGCCTCACTTTTCACAGTTGTATAACAAGATCATTTTTTTTTCCCCTTTAAAACAAAAGAACAGACCGTGGGGAGATGGCTCAGTGGTTAAGATCACTTGTTAGTACCGAAGGGGACCCGGGTTTGCTTCTCGGCACCTGCATGATGGCTCGGCCACTCGTAGCTCCAGTTCCAGGAGGTCAGACCCCTGGCTGAAGTGGTAGCCCTGCCTCGGCCTCCTGAGGAGGCACCACTGGCCTCTTCTCCTATTGCATTGCTGGAATCTGCCTCCCTTTCCCAGGTTTAAGATCCACAGGGGATGCTCAAGACTGCTGCCTGGTCACTGCCCCGGCAGCGGTTTCCTCTAGGGAAAACCTCGAGGTTTTCCCTCCACCCAGCCCTGCTCTGGATTAAGTAGGTCTAGATGCTGTTAGTTGGCCTCCGGGCCACTTGATAACACATGCTGCACTCTTTTGCGGTCCTGGGGAGTAATTCAGGGTCTCACATACACTATGCGTGAACTCTAGCACTCAGCTGTGCCCCAGACCCGTTTTCCCTGTCTTAAAGCATCGTTTCTGCCTGTCCAGTTGCCGCTGGTTAACCTTGGAGGGTATCAAACTGAATACATGCAATACAGTAAGATTCTGAGAGAGAGACAGAGAGACAGAACATGCCTGTCATTCATTTCAGTGTTCCTGTGATCGGTCTCTATTACTATCAGGTATGTGTTTAATTTCGTACTGTATCCAACTTATAAACTTACATTTTTATTTAATCACTGTGTAAGCTCAGGCATGGCACAGCACCTGTGTGGAGGTCAGAGGACAACCTGTGAGAGTTTGTTCTTTTCCTTCACCATGTGGGTCCCAGGGATCAAACTCAGGTCTGCAGGCTTGGCTGCAACCACCTTTACCTTCTGAAACATCTTGCCGGGCCCCCAATGTGTTACCTTTGTCATATATGTCAGGATATTTGAAAATGCCCTGCACTCAGCAGATCTGATGAGAAGAGATTTATTTGGGGGAAGGAAAATGGAGAGGAGTTAGGGCCTGAGTGGGCCATGAGAGTAGAGAGAGAAAGAGACAGAGATAGACAGAGACAGAAGGAGAAAAGAAAGAGGGGCAGGGGGGTGGTAGGGTCCCCCAAGAGAAAGTCAGAAAAAGCAGGGAAGGGGAGAAAGACCGAGGCCGGGAACGGGTGGGAGTGGCAGATGGGTTATATCTGGAGCACCTGGCCCGGGTGACGACATAGGACTCAGGTGGTGACATATGGTGTTGTTAGGACCCTAAAGGCCCCTGAGGGCAGGCCAGTTGAATTGCCTGCACAACAACATAACAATATACATATGAGATCATGATATATATATATCATGATCTATATCTATCTATCTATATATATAATATATATATAATATCATATGTTATATATATGATAAAGATAATAAAAATAATAAATATCAGGATTTGCCACTATCCTCAGTCTCAGGTATTCACAAGGGGTGGGGAGCCTCTTGTTTATTTGGGTAAGGTAGAGTTACTTTGTACGCATGAGAGAGAGAGAGAGAGAGAGAGAGAGAGACAGAGATTGAGAACCCAAGGATTTTTTGTAGACACATTTCAGTGTGAGAAAAAACAAACAAACAAACCAAAAAACAAAAACAAAACACCAGCTAGGCAGGGAGGCAGAAGAAGGTGGATCTCTGTGAGTTCGAGGCCAGACTGGTCTATAAAATGAATCCAGGATAGCCAGGAGAAACCCTGTCTTGAAGAAAAAAAAAAAGTCACTTTAACAATAATATCAGTGTTATTTATATGGAGATGTTTTTTGGACAGAAAGCCAATTTGTATGGCTAAGCGCTGTAAACCAACAGTTCTCATCCTCAGCGGTTCTGAGCATGCGAGGAACCGCTCTGGCCCTGAGCCTTCCTTCTAGCCCTCCACCTTTGCACAAAAGGCTTATTTTTCTCTTAGCAGTGCACATCCTTGCTGGGCTCCGTGCCGCCTCCTCCTCAGCACCTCAGACTGTGGCATACGTGTAGGGAGGTGGGTGAGTGGCGGGGCTGCGGTAGGGTGGTTTTCTCGCCTTTTGCTGTCTCTTGGAGACTAGTTTAACCTCTGTGAATTCAACCAGCACTGCCTTTGTTGGCAGTTTCCTACCTCTGTTCTGACAGCTCAGGGTTGGCCTGCCTCCATTTCCAGCTGCAGAGAGAGCGGGGGTCTAGGTTGTCCCCGCCATATTCCACATTCCAGCGGTTGCCCTTGGTTCTTGCTACTCATTGGCTTAGTCCCAAACCTATTCATGTCCAACGGCCTCTGTTCTTCGGTTATTTCCATAGTTTATCTAACCTGATAGCAGCTCACTGTTCAGCCATGTTCCTCTTTTTGTGAGGCCAGTGCTGCTGCCACTACTGAAATAGGCCTCTCTCTCTTTTTTTTTATTATTTTTAAATTTTTTTAATATTAGTTACGGTTTAAAAAATATGGAACGCTTCACGAATTTGTGTGTCATCCTTGCACAGGGGCCATGCTAACCTTCTCTGTATCGTTCCAATTTTAGTATATGTGCTGCCGAAGTGAGCACTAGGTTTCTCTTCTTAGACGCTTTCTCACATATAATAATAATAAATCATTTCCCAGGCAGTGGTGGCCCACGCCTTCAATCCCAGCACTCAGGAGGCAGAGGCAGAAGGATCTCTGTGAGTTCAAGGCCAGCCTGGTCTACAGAGCAAGTTTCAGGACAGGGCTACGCAGAGAAACCCTGACTCAAAAAGCAAAACAAGTAACAAAAAACAGAACAACTGTAAGACCTGGGGTCTCACAGCTCAGGAGTTCAAGATCGCGCCCTTCCCAGAAACTCCCCCAGACCACGACTCGTTGCAAAAGCGAGAGGTTTATTAACCATTGTGCAATGGGGTCACCCCTGCCGGTCACCAAAGAGTGGCACCCGGAGACAAAGGCCTTTAGGTTTTTAAAAGAAAAATTGCAGGAAATTTGAAGTTGCAGTTTTGGCAATTTAGGATTGGATGAGGAAGCTATAAAGAAAGATAATTGGTTAGTCTTAGGTGTTCAAGCTTGGCCAGTCCTGCCAAGTGTGGATGCAGCTGCAATTTAAGGTGGGGGTGGTTAGCTCATCCTTGAAGATTAGGGGTTGCGGACTTTTGGCTGGAGGTCAAAAGCTACTCAGAAGAAGTCTGAGTTCGTTGCTAAGAAACACTATGTTGAAGACAAGGGTCTGGTCATTCTTTTTGCTGAGTGAAGGTCATTGCTTGCTTGCTTTTTTCTATCTGTCCTCACAGATAGGGTCACATTTCTCCATTCTCTGGAAAGGTACTAAGAGGCTTTAGCTTAATCTGAACCTAAAACTCAAAGCTATAGGCTTTAGAAGACATACAGGTTACAAAGTTAGTCTAACCCTTTCACAACAACAACTAATCCCAAAACAGAACAACAACAACAACAAAAACCCAAAATAACCTTAAAACAATAAACCATTCATTTCATTCACTCAAGAGACACATTTTGAGGAGGCTTAGTAGTTCTTATACTCCCGAGCTGCGTGTCACCCTGCCCAGTGTGTCAGACACCTTTCTAAGTACTTTGCATATATTAGCAAATTGTATCTTGCAACACATCAGTGAGGCAGGGCTGGAGATGACCAAGCAAATAGGGTAGGGCTCAGCGACATACTCGCTCAGCTTTGCTTGGCTGTTTAGTGGTGCTGGGGTTGGAGACTAGACTGCCTGTCACCAGAGGTCACATTCTTGGCTTCCGCTGTTGCACCTAGAATGAGGCTCTGTGCAGAAGAGGGTGTGTAATAAAGATGAGGTGAATGGAGTTGGATTTTGGTCTTGGGAGTCCAAGGAAGGAAGGAATAGCAGCGGGAGAAGCTGGGGAGCAATAAATGGGTGAGGACAGGGAGGAGGAGGGACCAGCCTTCGTTCCTGTTTAGTAGTGTCTTGGCTCGGCTCACCAGCGTCGTACTGCCAACGACAAAGGCAGCTTGGTGTTTCCACCAAGGTGACCCAGGTGGGTGAGCCAGGCTTCTGGTTGCTACTGGCCTTAGCTGGGTTCCAGCAGATAGGCTGCCTCCTCTGAGAGGAGCTGCTTTGTGTCTCTGATCCTC